GGCTTGTACCAAGGTGAGTGAAGTTGACTAAGCTGAGACTCCTTTCTCCGCATGTTTATAGTTTTTATCCAAGCTTAAATTGTAGTATGCTAATTAAATATTAATACGAGCAGTTATGTAGGTTTTTTATTATTCTAAATGCGATTATACTTTACAATATTAACATAAAAAAAAAAAAAGTTAAAAATCAATGTTACTGTACCTGCATGATTTTATTAACGTAAAATGTTAATCTGTTCTTTTTTTTAATAATAATTAATTGTGACTGAATCGTGTATTAAATGACTAATTCAAAAAAGGTACCTGGTTACTGTATAACTATAGGCATCTATTTGCCTTTTTTTTTTGTTTTTGTCGCGTTTATTCCAGTCTTTTTTTGTAGTTTATAAATTATAGTTGTTTAAATTCAGAGTCAAAACCCTCATCAGTTGTTTTTTTTTTTGTTTGTAGCCAAACATTATATTTTCATACACGAGTTTACCACACTACACCTACATGATGAATATTAGCATAACAATCGCACTACGAAGTATACATTTATTTATCAATAGAGCAATGGTAACAGACGTATAATTCCCGCAATTTTCTCACACTCTATACATTAAGCTAATATAAATAAATCCCCCTCCCCCTATCATACATACGACCAAGTTTTTCGAAATTGAAGTCACATCTCAGCAGGCGTTTAAGAGCCAACGTGGCCTATTTTCCAACCACTCAACCACACACGTTGTCTCTCATCGCTGGTCTGCAGTAGAACGTACCACGAAGTTAATGTCACCGGTTGTATACGCATATAGGTAATAGACGAAAAATCTTCTGGTGAATGAATGATGGTCTGTGCGCATTCTGTCATGCTGAAACAATAAGTGAACTTACATAGTAACGATGTTATTATTTAATAAATTCGTACGTACCTATACGATCTAGTGAAGTAGAGAAAAAATACACGCTGATATTACACATAAACTACTACTACTTATACTACTACTAGTACTATTAATACTACAACTTCTAATATTTCTTATAACATACTATATTATTATACTAAGCGATATGCGTGAATCACGCAGCGGTACAATGATCGCATACGTGTTTTCTCTCGGCGTGTACTATTATACCTTATAATGTTCATTGATTATGATATTTTACGTTGGATGCCTACATTTTTATGGGTTTAAAATAAATTTGTAAAATGTTTTCTTGAGATATTTTGTTTTTGCAAAAAAAACAAAAATAAACCTTAAGTTAAAAAATAAAAAAAATAAATTCTAAATATCATCTATTTATGGTTCTTAAATTGAGTGAATATTTTTAAAAGTATCTTTGTAAATATTGTATACAACAAAGATAAACTATCAATATACAATGTAAACAATTTGTTTTGTACAAATCATTTATAAAACGATTTGAATATACTAAATGTCTAAGTCATATATGTTTATAACTCATAAGTTATCAGCTGGCAACTCATAACCGTAATAATTCATTATATTGATTATTATTTCATATGACATACGTATTTTCAGCTTGAGATTATTATTATAAATGTTGAAAATATATAAATTAATAAAATACAAAAATTAACAGTGAAATTAGTTTAACAATCATTAAATTGTTGATTTTTTTTTTTAGTTTTCACAATATATCAACGCAGTTTTAAATAATTATTCAATAGCATGATATCTCCCTTAAATTTAGTCCTAGAGCATAATTCTACAATTTAACAAACTGTTTATTCTTCGCTACATTCAAAATTCGATGATTCTGGCACCCTCCATTTATATAGAGTGTAGCTACATTTTTACTGCTCAGTTTTTACTCTATTCAGATAAATCCATTATACTACTATTGACGCGGCTTCGGCGGTTGTCGTGGTTTTGATCCGCAGAAAGCCGGTCGTATGATTGTAGATGTTCGCACCGGTGAGGAGACACACAAACAGGTTGGTTGGACAGATTCGGCAAAGACGTTATAAACCTTCAGTGGTTGCACGTAACATGGTGATTTCAACGAAATTAAGTCCTTGTAGAGCCGTTGTAGAGTTCTTTGGACGACATTTGGAACATCAGACGCTGTTAAACGTGCAACCGACCTGCGACGCAAGCCTCCACTAGTTCAGTGCGACTTATCTTCCAGTCCCGCCTTAACCTTTATGACGTTGGTAGGGAAGTTGACTATATTGCGTCTTTACCTGTGGTGGTGGTGATAACTGTGTAGAACGGTTGCTTCGGTGCCTGTAATTTGTACTATCGACCGTTGCGTACCGTGTCACTCTTAATAACATAAATATAGGAACTTTTATACCTATATTATCTACCTAAGAAGAAATGTGAAAATTTGATGATTTCACTGTTCTTTTTGAATTTTACACATTTTTATCAGATGTTCTGTATCTCAAATTAGATGTTTACATGTGCATAACTCATAATATTATAACAAAAGCAACTAAAATAAAAAAGATTCCTACTTAGCTAAAAAAATATAATACTTACTGTGATTCATTTATACAAATTACAAATCTTAATACCATTATTTTACTTAAAAATATAACGAAAAATATACCCCCAATTGATAAGTGTTAACTAATAGTTATAATATAATTTATAAGTAAAAACTATTTATTTAATAATCCTTGAACTACGGCTATTAATATTGATCAATTATTCATCATCAATGTTTATCATATATGTAATCAGTAATTTAATCAGTAATATTAACCATATTATGTTATAATATTATATTATTATAAAAAAAATATTTTTGACAATTTCATCAAAATATTTTTAAAAAAGTAAAATTTTTAATTTTGAAATTTAGGTAAATATTATTTCATATTTACGGATGTAGTCGAAAATTCGAACTAAACATTTATTACGTATTTACTATTTAACTAGAATTACATAATTGTATAATATAGTACAACAATAATATTACGCAGTTTTGAGATATTTCATTGATATTTAGTTTATTGTAATATATGTATGTGAACAAATTTGCTTCATTCAAATATTTTACAAAAGTAATAATAATTTAATTTAGCACTCGTGTTTTCATAATGTGTTTTTTTTAATTTATTTTAATGTTTTGTCAGTTATATTAATAAATAGTTGATATACGTCCCTATGTTTTTTTTCTACAAATTTGATTAAAAAAATGTAACGAATTCCATGTGTAATGTCGAATTCAAAACGAAAAAAAGTTTGAAAATCGAATTCTTGTTATAATTTACTGTTTCATAATTGAAAATAAATATCGGACGAACAGATTACATATATTGAATATAGAATAAAATACATTTTTGAACGAATTCTTCGAATTTCTATTTTACATATATTAGTAAAATAAATATAGTAAACTGAAATGAAACTACCATAACTCTAAAATTGCTAACATTTTTTTTTTTTTTACAAAATTATTTACCATCATCAACGTGTACATAATTGTAGTTATTTTGTCTCATGTCACGGATTTGAGCCGGTATTTTATTTTTTATAGTCGTTGTCTATGTAACAAGTAACAAACATCTCACTTTTGCAATTTTAGTGTATGAATTTATAAAAAATTATAACGACATATTTTATTATTTGCAGCGGTTTATTGTTTGTTTTTTACATTGTTTAGATATATGATGAGTGATGAAGTAGATACTTGATATTTGTGTATTGGTTGATTTCGATTGTTGTTTAAATCACAACATCTCGTGATGTCTTTTCTTTAATATAATTATCGATTTTTGGCAGGTATTTTGTATTTTGCTCAAAATATAACACAACAGGAACACTAAAATAAATTAAAACGTTAGTGTTAATGTAAATTTAAAATAATTACCTAGTACACACTTTACTGTGATAAATTATTGTAACTGGCAAATGTTTAGAAGATAAAGTGAAGTACAAAAAATGAATTATCTACAGATTATTCAAAATTGAAATTCTTCAAAACTATGTGTGTTAAGGAATGAATAGAGATATGTGTTTATAGTTATGTAGTCAAAGACAACACTTAGTCATAGGTAGTAAAAATATTAATTATAATACAAATATATTTTATTTAATATTTATTTAAGTTTTGCTCTAAAAGGAGGTTAATATTTATTTTAACTGGTAACCTAAGATCCCTGACTATCAAACGTACATACGATACTCACTACAAATGGATATCATGTTTTAGAATAAAATAAGCTTTAGTATTATTTTTATAAAAATAGTTAGACAAAACAACAAACAAACCGCAGGGTGGGAACGATTATACGTATTTACGCATTTTGAGGTCAGTGTGTTTGTTTTCAAAATTAATGTACCTATAGATTATAGACTATAATCATTGTAGGCATAAAGTTATTGGAAAAAAACTATTTTCGCTGATAAAATTCTAAGTCATTTTGTACAGTCGAACATTTAAAGTGACAGATGCTTTATACTATTAGATACGTATATACTCTTATATGCAATACATATATAGAGTAGAATATAAAGTATAAATAATTATATAAACAAATCTGAAGTTATGATAAATTATATTAAAAACCTTTGAGATTTAAACAGTATTTCTTATTTATTTTGGTATACTAATACTATACCTACTTCAATTTATTAAATTAAAATATATAATCGACATTCATTTTAATTATAAATATTTAATGTTATTATTATCGTGATTTTATATTAATATTTTTATTTGAGCATTATACTTTACAATATTTTGAATTTGACGTTTTTAACATAATTTTTCATTGCTCACGAGTTTATATGTATGTACATATAAATATGTATTTTATTAAATATCAAATAAATCTTTAATCTCCTACGTAAGAATTCGCGTTCTGAAATGTATATTTCTACCCACCGTGCAATAAGTGTCCGTATTTGGCATTTAAAACTATAATGAACTGTAAAAAAGATCGTTAAATAAATGTCAAATTTTCCTTATTTTTGTTTTTACGATCTTTTGGATTGTAGTGCTTAAATTTAAAAGTACTTCAATTTCCGTTTATTGTTTTAGGATGGCATTTTTTTTTTTTTTTTTTTTTTTTCTCCCGTTTGGCCATGTCCCTTGAGCTTCTTGCGCGCCACGCCGCCGCGGGTCTTACATACTTTTAAGCACTTGTGTGCAGTGGCGGAAGTATCGACCGCAAACAACTGCATACTAGTTGCCGACCAGTCGCCCCGGTACTGCACCGCCTTATCGACCTGTTCGCCATTCCGGTAGAACAGCATTGTAGGTAGCGCGTTAATGTTGCACATTATTGCCAACTCGTCATCATCCGAACAGTCCACAGCTGCTGCCACAATGGGATGGCCGCCCTGCAACGTAGCCGCGACTTCAGCAAACACCGGTTTTATCGGCCCACAATACCTGCACCCTGTGCGAAATTTCATTTTACTTATAGACTTTTAAATAAATGGACTGATAGCACAGTGAGAGAAAATTTTTAGAATAACATATTATGCAAATTTTAAGTCCATTTATGTTCATTAATAGTGTATATGTGAGATAAAGTGGTGTGTGTGTGTGTGAGAGAGAGAGAGAGAGAGAGTGAGTGATGAAGACGTATCGCTATGATCATACTTTATTTTTGTTAGCCAACTGGAAAATATTATTATTATTATCGATTGATCAATTATTCTGAACACTTCTATAAGCGTTTGGAAAACAAATACTGTGTTATGTGACTATAAACCGTAAAAAGAGTTCTAGTGGAATGCATACCCCTGTAAATTTTATTCAAAGAAAAAAGTAAAAACGTCTTCTGAAATGTATTCGTTATACTTTTTATTATTTATATATTTCTGCAGAGAATCGCGCATTTGGGATTTCGGTTTTTCCAAAGCATAAGATATCGACATCCGGTACTCTGAAGTGTGATGGCGATAATAGTGGTTTGAGCTATGAGGTTATAATACTTAAGAAAAATATTTCTGATATCTAACAATACAAAATATACGAGATTATTAAAACATTAGAATTGAAAATTCTTAGTTAGGTACTCTTAGTACTTAGAGCAAAAATACTTGAAACAACTATTTTACATAATATTGTATTTTAAATGTGTATTTAAATTAGCGATGTGGTAGTAAAAAATATCTAATGGATATAGTTTTATTCCTATTGCTTATGTTTGTCACATCAACTGCACTTATGTTTTTTTTATACATTGCTCTAATTTGATTCTACTGGTCTTCAGAATAATAGATTAATTAATATAAGACAAATATTCTCCTTGCGCGTAGTGTCAGCTATACGTCTTCTTGATCCTGCACTATCACCATTATTTTCAACAAAAACATTATAATTGTTACTAATACTACCCCCTCCAATAAACTATAGTATGTCAACGTCTCCCTATATAGTTGAGAAATGTCCACTTGTTTGTGATTTTGATTAGAACATAACCTACTTCTGTCTTTCGCATCACATACTACAAACGTTCGTTAAATGACCCCTTCCCCTATAATATTTTATTTGTTAGCTAAGGAAAAATTGTAATTTTTACCTCCACCTTCTCCATTTTATTAGTTATTTCATAACTTATCTAACTTAATAATTCCAATAAAGTCAATTATCTCAAAAAATTTGATTTATATGTATTAAACTCTTGTGTAAGCATAAAAAGTTGTAATAATAACATAGAAAAAATAGATTTTTTCAAATCCCGAAACAATAAAAATGAATATAAAAGTATATTCTAGGTATATAATTTTTCCGTAAAAGTTGTAAATTGCTTAATACTGATGACAAAAATAATAATGGCTACAACATAAAATAAACACATTATTTAAAACCTAAAATTTACCTATCTTTTCGCACGCCTTTAAACATGGTATGAAATATCACACGGTGTTTGGCATACTTAGAGAAATTTGGCGACCATTTTTCTATTGATGTGACGTTTTATAATATATTTTGACGGAATTATCGTAGTATGTCTTTAATATTAATATTTTAGTTCACCTACACACATGACACGGTGGTGCCGATTTGAGTACAACGAAATAATAGTCAATCGCCTATAGTATAGTGCACAATAAAAAATATTGTCGAGTCCGACCTCGACGGTAATGATGTGTAGATGAGCCATTCTAAGTGTTAGTGTTTATATTGACCTCATGCTCGCAACCTTTTCTTAATTATAATGTGGCCAACTATATTCTAATAATACCTGTATCAGAAAACAGTACTACGCAATAAATATTTAAAGAAAAAAACAACTTCGATATTACCTATTCATGAACTCTTGGGCCACAAGAGAGAGTCACATCAATCAAGGTCCGTCGTTCGTGGGAAATTATTTATGTTCATAATATTATTGAATTGCGTATTTGCATTTCGATTGTGTGTGTACGTTTTCTTATAATTGCACTTGTTTATTTGTATGAAATATGTTTTCTTAATCGCAATGCATATATTATTATAATGGCATTAAACAAGTGAAAATACTTTACCAATAATTTAATAAATAATTGGATAGTTTTATTTTATTGACATAAAAAAAGTACTGAATATTTTCATCCTTATAAATGATCTATTTCAAGTTGTCATTAATATGGTTTAATGACATTTTAACTTTCTTTAAAGTAAGGCATATATGGTAGGTGCACATAATTTATAATTTCTTTGATGTACATTTTTTAACGTATGAATGCACTAATATTCTAATAAACTAGACAATTCTTACCACAATAACTCGAGTGCTGGCATAACAGTCATGGATGTATTATTAATACAATGACACAACAATTCAGGTAGATTGGTAAATGGTAGGTAGGTGTGCAATCTTTATTTTCTTTGTAATAACTAGAAACGTTTTCATGGATGAATGTAATTTTTGTTGCTCAAAATACAATTTAAAATTTAGGTACATGATATTCGTGTAAAGCCAGCTAATGTGTTTTTTTTTTTTTTTAGTTTTAAGTAGATCCTAGTGAAATCGTTCTAATTTTATATTGTCGAATTCAATCTCTAAGTTTAAATACACATAAATAAGATTTTAATATATTATTTTCTTTTGCATTATATTATTTTTACTTCGCATAAAATATACATATATAATTATAATTAAATAATTAAGAGTATTATTTTTATAAAATCCAAAGTCCTTTCCGATAAATCCTTTTACTTAAATAAATAACGAGGTATCTAGATTAAATACTATCTATTATTGTGTATTATGTTTTCAATGTATACTATATATTATATACGAATCATATTGCACTGACATATACAGTACACACATACAATAGAATAGTTGTTAATCCTATTAATATATTTTTTAAGAAACGATACACTATTAAAAGTTAAAAAGCCATGTTAACAATACAAATGTACGATTATGTCTTTTATAATTTTCTGAAGCATAGTTTTCTATGGTTGAAGCGCCAACAAAAACGTATTAAACGATGAGCTTTCTAATATTTTACTGCGAATTCATTTCGATTTTATCTTATATTATAACCCCGATAATCGACGTGTCCGTTGAACGCGTAACAACAGTTGGCTATAATAACTATTGAGTATATATTATAATATTATAATAGTTTATAGGTACCTACCTGATAATTATAATTTAATATAATAACATATGAATAAAAGCTATTATTTCACGTTGAGTATACCGCAAATGTACCGAGAGGAGGATTTCTATTCATTAATATTTTCGTGTGCGTGGGAACTCCGATAAAAATGAGACGTCCGGCGCAAATATTATGGGTACCTATGTATAATAAATTATAATTTATACGTCCTACAACATTATAACGTCGTGACAAGAGGTATGTACAATATTAAGGTGTATCTATAATACTATACCCGTTTCATGCAATTGGTAGTATATGCCCTTAAAAATGCCGATTTGCCGATTTCACGTATTCGACAATTGGCAACGGCTTTGCTGATTTCATGAATTCAACAATTTCACGAATCTAGCGTAACATAGACAGATATACTAAATTACAGGATATAATCAATAATTAGTAATTACTATGCATAGTATAGTTATATATAAGTAACTAATCAATACTGTGGACACGGAATACAATTTAAGTGAAAATTTATCTTTTTTTTTTTTGAGGAGGAAGAGGAGGAAAAGGTGGGGCTGGAGATGTTTAATCTCTTATTTCATTCATCCACCTTACAAATACATAAATATTATTTTACTGCTGACCTACCTAAAATAGGTGCAACCGACTTGGCGAGAGTGTATGTCTATAATGTTATTATATAGGTAGCAAACTGATTTTCGGGACGTTCAATGTGAATTCTACTCACATTTAGCGTGGAAAAACACCAACACACAGCAATTTCCTGTAATCGTCTGTTGAAAATTCGTCTCGTCCAATGTCCGCACGTGACTTCCTCCCGGCATGTTTTGCCACCCAACATTGTAGTCATTTTCATTATCGTGGTCGTTGTTATTGCCATTCGTCGACGGCCACGATGCTATTGCTAAAACTGTCAAAAATAAAGCCTGCGAAAAACCCATTATATCATATAGACGGACGTAGGATGTTGATCTACGGGTAGGTATATTAATATTATTATGCCGAGGGTCATTATTTTATGGTGATCAGTACTTAGACTTATAAAAAATAAACCTGTTTATATACATTTTACTCAGAAAAATTTAATATCAATAATGATTTTACCGCAGCCGTACCCAGCTTTCAGAAATTTATTATTTAGTCGGTTAATTATGGACAAAATAGACTATCGTTGCAAGGTAATTCTAGCCATTAGTATTGGAAATGACTCATTCCGTCACCTTTTTTATTTATCATTTCATTTTATAAATATTTTACACACACATATATACATATTAATAAATTACTATGTGCGATTTTGTACACGCTAATGTTGAGTCACTTCGGAGTTTTTATTCATCTATCTCCATACGTATATGTATCATACAAAAAACTAGTTCCGGAATGTGTTTTACTTTCACAAATACAAATTATTGTTATTCGGTGTTTAAGAACATTATAATATCTATCTGATAATTCGCCTTGCCGCCCAGATTATTATCGATCATTCTCAAGAGAACGGCACATCGTTAAGACCGGAGAGATGTGTGTATGATGAACATCGGGGTGTCTATAGATTCTAATTATATCATAATGTTTTAAAATTAATTATGTTTTATGCTATTTTACTAATAAGATTCATTGTGTTGTGCGGTCATTATAATGATCTATCTTTAAGCCAAGACAACACCTATCTAATATATATAATGGAAGAATTGTTTAGAATATGCACGTCAAATTGCATGAATGGAATTTATTAAACGAGATTATTATTTAAAAATATTAATTTAATGATAATATCACAGTAAATATCATTATGGACGTAACCACAATATGTCATTAATCAATTATTAATTAATTTAATCTAAAACAAAAATATATAGGTATAACTTTTATTTTTTACCATCTAACTTTTAAGGACTAGTCGTTAATATTTAGTTAATTATAATACATTTTTTTTAGTTGATCAGTAATCATTTAATAAAGCAATAAATATTAATTTTTAATTGATTAAGTTATTAAAATCATTGAGATTTATAATACAAAGACACATTTTCACGTGATTTTAACAATAATAATAAAATTAAGTAGCTATTGAAATTAATAGTATGCGTATTTTATTAAAAAAAATCATATGATCATATCTAACTTATGTCGCTATAAAAATAATTAATTTTCCTTTTTAACATCTTGACTATAGCTTAAACATTTAGTAAATAATTATTTATAGCCCAAAATTCATTAAAAAGTAAAAATTGTTTTTTTAAATCGTTTATTATAACATAATTTTAAAGAGATGCAATATATTTCATAAAACTACTAATATTTTTTTTTTATTTAAGTTACAGTAATAAACAATATATCGTTAATAATTTTTAACAGTTTTATAATTATTTTGATCTGAATAAGGGTTTTTTGATAGGTTAAATAAATAATTGATTAACAAGTGTGTCGCTTTATTATGTTTTAGAAATAACTATTTAGAATCGTTTTATAGGTACTATATTATACTTTAATTAACAAGTGTTTAAATACCGCAAACATGAAAAATAAGTAACTTTATTACACCCATATACGTATTTTTAGATACGTTATTAATTTTCATGTTTTTGACAATAGATTAGCTTCCCACGTTATTTCACACATATTTAATTTACATTATTAACAACCTAGAATTAGAATATTTTTAATTTAACCAAAAAACTAATTTTAAAAATACTTTTTTCTATTTCATATTACATAATTGGGAAATTACATTTATTTTATCATTAAGTTATTGTCTTACAAAATATCTTATTATCAACCAAACCTGTATGGCATCTGCATCGTCATTGCCATCATCATCAGGAGTATCCATCTCGATAGATATAAATATTGTTGAAAACGCCTTTCAACTTCAATGTCCGATAACAAGGTTTGATTTAATTAAAACGAGAGAATTTCAATAATATAATACACTATTGTCACCACAGAGACGTAATAAACAAAGTTTACTTGACATAAAAAAATCTCGTATTGCTAGATAACATGGATCGTTTCCCTCTACTTAATCGACGAAAATTGTATTGATTAATTTTGTTCTGAAGGTCAATAATGGTGATAAATATCAACCAAATTAGCCATTTAAAAATAAATAAATAAATAAATCTTACACTCTATTATTTGTAAACACACTGTTTAGTGTTTAGTTTACTATACCTACCGAATACCAGGAATATCAATTTAATGTAATGACATGTAATTATGTAATTACATTCAGTCTCCAATGATGTATCTCATATCGCTAAACATCGTTCTAGTGTTTTCTGAGTTCACAAAACTGTAAATCAGTATTTGGGTTGTAATTTTTTGACTGATAAGGGTTAATACTTTAAAATTAATATTGTCATCGATCTATAAGTTGTATTGCTTAATTAAAGTATGTTAAAATTAAAACAATGACTAAAAAAAAAAAACATTATTATATGGCGATATAACGATAAATTTTGAAATAGAAAAACTAATTCCAATCAATATAATAAGCTACATAATTTATAAATTTAATGTATTTCAAGGTAAATTGAGAGGGTTGATTATAAAGACAATATTACCTATATTAATATTCTGTGGTTGATTAAAACAGATTCGAGGAGTAGTGTAAACTAGTAATTATATTCTAAATTCAATAAACATAAACATAGTAAATATAGTGACGAACTTAACTAAGTATATTTTGATAGAATTTAAATTTGCTTATTTAAACATACAACAAATCGTGTATCTGAAGTGTTCTGAGTAAAATAATATTGATAAATATACCTCTTGCATATGCACTGCAAAGGAATGTGTATTTTAAACCTATAATTATTCATAGTTAATATAAAAACGATAATTATTGTATATTTACCAAAACAATGATTTATTAGTTAAGATATAATTTTTGATATAGATTTTAACAACATTTTACAAATTATGATTTACTTATTAATTGGTTATTTAGATTTTAAATAATAACGTAAATGATAATTTAAGGTGCATTTTAATCGCACTAATGAATATCAATGGTGGTGTAAAATATTATTACAGAACTATACCACCTACAAACAGTATATATAAATTCAATATTAAGAGGACACTACATCCATATGTGTTGTTTTAAAAAACGTAAAATGTGATAATTTTCGTTCAGTAGAACCAATTTTATGTGTTCAGCTTAAATATTGAAGTAAAATAACCTATTATCAAACTTAAATGTAAAAAAATTATTTATGTTCTATCGTTTAATTTTTTACAGTTTTTTTAAAATTTTAAGCAAATTTATTATGAGTATGTAAATAATTAATATTTAAAAACGCTTATAATTCACTTAAAAATTAAAGTATCGTAAAAAAACCGACAAAAACATACAGATAATTTTTTTACCTTAAAATTTGATAATAAACCATTTCGTTCTAATATTAAATCTAAACACACAAAATGTGTTCTACCTAACAAAAATTTTCCATGCCATACATTTCTATGGCGGAACAACGTTTGCAGATGTGGCGTCCACTTAAATATTATAGTACTTAATACTCAACATTAAACTATAAACGTATTGACATTACATCAGAGTATATATTTAATTATTCGATTCGGCTACTTGAGTATAAGTATAATCAAAAAAAAATTGTTTAATTTAATTCAGTATCTACTTAAATAATCGATTCTCCTTTGTGATCATAAAAATACATAACCGTATCAATATTCAAATTATACTATTGAGATGTCCATTTTAAGAGATACCTATTCTTATATATTCAAAGTAAAAATTACTTTTGAAGGATAACTATTATATTATACTTGAAAGATGCTGCAAACACGAATAGTTATTAAGTTTTAATACATTTTATCTTTAGCCTCGGAGAAAGCAGTCATAATGCTATATTATGTTTAGAAATGTGTCTTTCTTTACCATTACTAATGTGTTAATGAGACCATTGCGCATTATTCAACTAATACACTATTTTATCATAACCGATATTACATATTATATTATATTGATATAACATCTTACGAATTGCATAATTATAAACAATAACAAAAATTATTGTTATATTTTATACTATTAAACACAAATAGTTAGGATACTTGAGAAGTACAATAACATGTATACATTTCAAATTTGTTAATTTTATCGTACTACAGAGGTGGCGTTAACCTAATTTAAAATGTATAATTTGATACACAAGGTCTTTGTATTATGTGACAAAAATAGTGAAGAAAATTATCTAAGAAATCAATGCGATCTCCATCATTTTTGCTTTACATAATTGTATTAACATTAGAATATGTGTGTAACTATATGGAAAATATAAGATAAATTTTACACTTTTATATTGCAGTCGACTATTGATCAAACTTATATCACAGTATTACAAAAACGGATAACTAAGTAATTTTGAGAAAAATAATACATAAAAAAATGTTACTATGTATGTGAAGATTAAAATATATAAAATGTATAAGTATATTAGTTATTGAATTAGTATTTATCAAATATAAGTATGCAAATCAACAAATTTATAATTAAATATTTAATAAGATTGAGGTTGCATCTAAATATTGTTTTGTAATAAAAACAACAAAATATAAAAATAAAATATACCAAAATAGTTTAATTTTAATCGTAGATTAAAATAAGCTACTTATATTACAGATGTATAAAAATAGTAGATAGTCGAATTTGATCGATTATTATCACTAATAAAACGGTCACTATTCGTTATTTAAGTAGTGAATGTTTATGTTGTTAGTATTACTAAGGACATTTAAATATTAATATTATCAAATTAAAAGACTTGAATAGTATTTTATTATATACCAGTTAAATTTAGAAATATTCATCTTTTAGATAAAAATAGCGGTCATTTTATTGAAGACATTATTTTATACGTATGGCCCATAACAGTCGACTACCAAGTATTTTTTTTTCATATATTCGTGACTCATATAAATAGCGTTAACACGAGAACACAAATACAAAGGCACAATATATATTTTCATTATTTCTTACCTAGGTATACAATTACTATAAACTATTGAATTGATGTAAGTATTAAAATACTTTTATATAAAAGTAAATTTAGCATTTGTACCACAATTTCAAAATTTGCAATCAAAATTTTAGTTTATGCCGTAAACACTAAATTATGGTCGATTATTCAACGATTTCTGATACAATTTTTATTATTTTATTTGTCTGAATTTAAATTTAATGCTATACTAACATTGCTAATTAAAATGAGAAATTAGCCTAGCGTTCCGAATGTGACTTACCTACGTCTATTTTTGAGTAAATTCGAGCCTAATATTAACAAACTCGTTAAAAATCATCAGGTTCATCCTTCAAATTAGATACATTTTGATTTAATTTTAATAAAAATACTTTTAAATATGATTCAGATAAATAATTAATGTTTGAACTTAAATAAATATGATCAAGTATGCGTTTTAATTAAATATATAAGTTTGAATTCAGATATAGAATAAAGTATATTGAAATATAATGATTAAAATAATTACTGTTCTTAAGATGCACTACAGATAGAAAGTTAAAAAAAAAAATGGGGGGAGGGCTCTAGAAAATTATTAATTCTCAAAGTTATCGGTGGATAAGATAAGTTTGAGAACCTGTAGTGTACGGTTTTCAGGGCAATTTACATAACATATAAAAAGTAAAATATATTAAATAAGTATATTATACATAAAAATGTTGTTTTAACGAAGGTATGTTTAAGATTTTGAACGGATAGAAGTTGTTATTAGTTTAACGATAATATATATATATATATATTTTTTTTTTTTGAGGCAAGTAGCCAGTAAGATAAATTCTCAAAAAATATTATGTTACCTTGATGAATATAATACGACGGTTTAATGCATTATTTTTCACAATCATTAATAACTTATTATTTATCTGTCTATTATCATATTATTCTATTAAACCATAAACGCGCACTGAATATAGTAGGAAATTCTAAAAATACAAATATCTATGTTGATGACAAATATGAATTAAAAATTACAATCAAATTTTTTTTTTTTTTTTTTTTATTAATACAAACCATTACTCAACTAATATTTAAAATATTTATTATTAAAATAATTATGAAATTAAAAATATACAGTTATTTATTTGAAAACTTGATATGCTTATAAATATCACTACTTATAAAATATAACCACCATACTCTGCTTCTAATGTGTATAATCTGTAAAAGGCTTATAAACTTTTAAGGTGATCGTTTGTTCATTAAAATTCATGTAAATATATATATTTTGAAGTCTGCTACAAAACAGTTACATAATAACTAATAATAAATATTACTACAAACTTTAAAAATCATATAAAAATAATTTATGCACGATTTCAGAAATATGCATATTATAATGTATTAAATAAGTGAAAAACTTTTATCATATCATATACAAAACAAAGGCATTATAAAGTATTAATCTTTAAAAAACACAAATCCATTAGGTTTGTGTATAAAAAACAAATATAGGTGAGATTCGAGTTTCCTTTTTTTACAAAGGCCAAACTTTAAGTCTATTTATTTATAAATTAAAATAATATTGACAGCAGTCAACTACCACGTTTTGATATCGTCGTGTGAATCTGCCTTAACAAATTATGGTGAGATCAGCAACAAAATGTCTATTGTCTGTTTCTTGTGTACTGCATTATAAAGTATAATATAGTCGTACTTTATATCATATTCGTATATTACAGTATTATTATATCTTTATTTGTTAAACGTTATTTATAAAATTTCTTTAAAAAAAAAATCACATCTATTTGTATACTCCATTGACCTAGACTGCAGTGCGTTTTGTAATTAACGTCGTTAATCATCAATTGTTTCCAATATCATTCTTGGTTCTTAATTATTTGTCTTTGCCTGCATATAACCAATAACATACATTTATTTAGGTGCTGCAGGTGTCGTAACGATACGAAAATGTGCGGCAATACGTTTACTACAGCGCCGTTTTGAATACCGCGACCACAGCAATAACACAATAATATAGATACTATTCAAATATTCTAAATCGATATTACACATTATATTATTGCTTACTTACGAATCATGTTATTATGAATTATAATGAAATGCCTACGCAAATAAACAGCTATAATATCATTGCAAACATGAAAATTATTATTTCGCGCCAATTCCATTACGGTTGCGACCGCAGATTCTATCCAATTAACATTTAACAATAATACATATGTGCATCACACACACATACATATACGCGCACGTGTATATTTATTATTATTATGTATAGTTGGCTTTCCATGAAGCAGCCGCACCGTTTGAATACTACGAGTGAAATTTCCCGACGATATTTTACAAAGTAGGTTGGTCGATGTTATTCAAAATTATTTTAATAGCGGTCGTTTTTCATCTGCGGGTTTCGACAGCAAGTAAAAAACCACTATCTAGTTAATATTACATGCTACTCTTTTAGTTGTTTATATTAGATCTATATAATATAATATATGTGTGTGGGTTAAACATTATAGTATTGCTACACTTTGTAATACCTACTATAAAAATACGGAATCAGCGTCGTGTAAGAGATCAACTTTGATAATGATAGAGACGTCATCAGTACTGGCGCACTATTATTGTAACACTTATACAATACACATATACCTATAATTTTCATATATGCATATATGTACACTTAAGTATACAGGGTAAATTATCAAACATGCGCACCCCTTTTTCCTTTAATTATCTATTTATTCAAATTCTTTTGAACTTAAATGTGGACTGAATGTGTATTGTGTTCAATACATAAATGTAAACTCTGACAATGGATATCTAATCTAATCAACTGTATATAATATAATATTTTAAGCTAATATGGTTAAATATAATTGAAACTTTGATGATACTAAAATAATATTAATTATTATAATTATTTTAATATTTTATAATTCTTAAAAATTGTATGAGATTAATATAAGTAATAAGCTAAATATTACATATTTAATTTAATATTTTATGTTTAAGAAGGTATAACCAGTATAACCAGTAATATTAAGGAATGCTATCCTTATTAGTTCTAGAACATAAAGTTAAATAATTTTAAAACTGCAAATTCAAATTTTGATTTAAATGTATTAATGTGATAAATTATGTAAATATATCTAATAAATAATAAAACCCTATGTATAATTTCATATTTTTGGCTCTTAGAATATTGAGACGGTGACGTTAGACTGTCATCAAAATGATTTTTAATTTTTATTCGTAATAAGAATTAAACAGTAAGATATAATACCTATAACTGTGTGATACCAAAAACCAGTTTATTATAATCATTGAATTCTACATTCTTTGATCAAATTAAAAAACAACGTGCAGAAAAATATAATTTGTTCACGTATCAATTTCACGTTGCATTTGAATAAAACTATTACCTATACATATAAATTAATATCAACGTTTAAACAATAATTTAATATTATATCTATTGCATTTTAAGCCTATCGTATTTCCAAACAACGTTTCAATAAAACGGTTTTATTTTAGGTTTTACAATCAATAACTAATGTAATTTATGTAGTCGATATTCTAAAGTCTTGTATTATAATAATATTATGTTTCAAGCATTCAGATATTTGATATACAAATATTGGTTAATTCCAATTCAAATATATATTTAATAATATTAAAGACAGTTAAGTTAGGTTAAGTTATTTCTTAAACTATTATCAAAAATTTTTATGTATCTTCTGTACACAAGTCAGTAGAACAAATTAAATTATTAAATTACTCGTTTATTAGTGCTTATTAATAAACGATTGACTTAAAAATTAAGGATTATCTATAGTGCTAAATCAATATCCCGAGAAAATAATTTATTGTATTTCACAGTTGAAGGTATCATATGAGCTGATAATATGTTATAGATTTTAGTTTATAAAAG